TTCATAAAAGAAACTGAAAAAAACATTACCTTAGTATCATTACAAATGAAGTTAGTTAAAATGAAGTAATCCAAGTTAAGGTGTAGCTTTCATCTAATACAAATGGTATCCTTATACAGAAGAAAATCTGAACACAAGCACATACACAGAGACAATCCCCCATGAAAATAACATGAGAGATTCAGGTAATGCTTGTATAAGGCAAAGAACATCAAAGATGTCAACAAATCAACAGAAGCTACAAGAGAACAGAGTCTTCCTCATACCATCAGCCCTCAAAAGAATCAATCCTAACTCCTTTTTCTTATACTCTGATCCTCAGAAACTGAGATAATACATTTATGTTAATGAAACCACCCTACTCCTGGTACTATTTTTACAGCAGCCTAGGAAACCCATATCTGACCTCTTGTACTTTCACTATTTATAATTTAAATGAACATTATAATTAACTTCAAATAAAAACCCAGAAAATATGTTCTAAAAATGATGCAAGGCTGTATGAGCTAAGGCAGCATACAAACCTGTAGTTCAGTAAGAACAGTCTTGTGCCTCTTGTTGCATTCAATCTTTTCCACTCGTGTTTTCAATTCTGCTAAAGTCTTATCAAAGACAGCACACTGTAGTGCACACAATTTTTCTTCCAGCAACCAGTGCATGACCTAAAGAAATACATATTACTTGGTTATGTAAGGGTAATTCGTTAAGCAAAAAACTGTTAATAGCTTAACTAATTTAACAAACAAAACATGCCTAATAAAATCCATGAATCAATGGTATCTACTGAAATTCCTGAGACAGACCAATAGATTTATAAAATCTACCTCAAGAGGGTAATAGATACTAAAAACAAAATTTTCCCAAAGGGTGAAAATTTGAAAAGTACTTCAAATTTCAGTGTTTTTTTCCCATATTGTCTTATCACATTTAAGCCACTTAAAAGAAACTGGTTAGAGAACTAGGTTTTCAATGTGCTAGTGTTACAGACTGATAACTTATGAGATACACTAAGACTGTTACTAATTACCACTCTATAAAATATTTCTAAGTTTACAAAATTCCCATCTCATGACTCACAACACACTGGACACTGGCATGTACCCAAGAACTTACCTAAGTTAACAATGATCTAAAGAAGAAAAAGTCACAACGCACATAAAATTTTCTAAAATTCTTTTGTATGTCTAAGCAAGTCTAAGACTAAAGAAGAAATATTATCTCTATATACCAAAGAAAAGTATATGTGCAGTGGTGAAGAGCATTTAAAAAAATTTTTTTTTAAATCTTTTTATTCATTTCTTTATTTGGTACCTGGTCTCACTACACAGCTCTGGGATTATAGGCATGCATGGTTTCAGTGGCCAGTACAGCACACCCAAGCGTTCAAGGGCTGGCACAGCATGCAGTACCGAGGATCAAACACGAGTCCCTGCTTGCCAGGCAGGTGTTTAGACCGCCAAGCTAGCTCCTCAGCCCAAAGGGCACTTTTTTATCATTTCATTCTTTCTATTTCTAGAAAGTATAGGTATTTATACTGTATCTTAGTGGAAGAATCTTGACAATAATATAGGAATGCTGGTACATGCCTACAATGGCAGCAATCTGAGGAGCTGAGACAAGAGGATCCTAAATTCCTGAGAAACAGTAATTTTGTCAGACCCCATCTTAAAATAAAAATTTTAAAGGTCTACAGATGTAACTCAGAGCCAAAGGCCCTGGGTTCTAGTCCTAATCACTCACTCACACACACACACACACACACAAGAACCTACATAATACAATTTTACCATTAACCATACACAACTTAGAAAAACCAAGTTTCATATGCCTTCCTACAAAAGGCACTTGCTATAAAGATGTGTGCACAGTCTGAAAATATATAAAACCCTGTATTTTCATTATTTGTATCTCTGTCCTAAAAGACATAGGAAGAAGTTTCCGAAACCCTTCTATGTTCCCTGTTGCTAGTCCTTCTAAAGCCCTCACCATATATTGTTACATACTAATTTTTTTTTTGTGGAACCAGGGATTGAACTCAGGCCTTTGTGCTTGCCAGATAAGCGCTTATTCCACTGAGTTATCTCCCTGGCCCTCTTATCAATTTTAATACTAACTCTAAAATATATAACAATTATTTTAGAAGCAGACTTGTACCATGCAATGAGATTATTAAAATATTAACATGAAACATTGATATTTTTACTATAAAACGAAGTTCAGTATGGGAAGAAAGAAGAAAATGTTCAAACGGTTCAATTTTGTTACAAAAGAAAATAAATATATATCATTATGCTTCCCTCCTCCTTTGAAAATCAATTATCCTCTCAAAAATAAATTGTGCGCCAAAAAACAGTTTTTTGTCAATGATAACCATAGATTTCTAAAGCTCAGCTACTTCTTTCAAGTTCTCCTTTGGTGATAAACTTAGTATGTCAGTAAAACAAAGGATACTATAATGTGAAAAACTTAGAAGAATAAAGATAGTGGTACTTTTTATTTACTAAAGCTTTTAATCATTTCCTACACCTTTTGAAGCTTCTGGTTAATGTCTCCTTTGGCTGTAATCTTCACTTGAAATTCTGCCTCATATTCCTCTTCAATATAGCGACGGCGACGTTTGGCCTGCACATCGTCCATGTCTTCTGACTTAGAACGTTTTCTTCCAAGAAATTCATCTGACAACCAAAAAAAAAAAAAAAAAACACACAATGATTAGCCAGTTGTTTTCATTAAAATCTTTTCTGTCTATTCTCCAAATTGACCAAAATTTGTTTTAATCTACCATAATAGCATTCTCAACCAATTATTTTACTGTTTTGGGACTCAGAAAAAGAAATATACAGCTTTTAACTTTTAAACTTAAAATGATTTTCAGTACACTAAGTAAAAACATTATAATAGCTGAGCAACATACAGCACAAATATAGAACATTTTTTCCTTGAAATTTTCACAGTAATATGGATAATCAGTCAGGTGCAACGGTCAGGAGGCTGAGGCAGGAGGAGCCAAAGTTCAAAGCCAACCAGGGCAATATATCAAGACCCTATCTCAAAACAAAACAAATAAAAAATAAAAAGGCCTCTCCTCTCTTTTGGCAGTAGAAGCGATTGAATCCAGGAAGCATTGAGTTATATTTGGATGGGAGCAGAAGAGAGAAACGGAAAGGGGAAGAGAAGGGAGGGGAAGGGCATGGAGACCACCTAACAACTGTGTCTTACAGAAGAATGTAGAAAGCATCTCATATTCTTTCCCTTTGCTAAATTTTGTAGTGCAAGTGAATCCGCCAACAAAATACAATAATCATTCTGATGTCACAGATTTCTATCAACTATACATAATTTGAACTGTATCTCATTACAAGAAAAATATTTAATCATAAGCTTAAGAAAGTAACATTACTGTAACAATTCTTAACACATCCTAAAAATTTTCAAATACATAAAATTATAAAAATGCAACTGGTAAAAAGTGGACATTCAAAGATCTTCACTTACAAAACTGCTATTTCAAATAATACTGACATTCATAAGATCATATGCAAATTTTTTCTGGTTTTATTTAATATATAAAAACTTCAAGCAAAAAATCCCCCACATAATTAGCTGGGTGTGGTGGCACATGCCTGAAATCTCAGCACTGGGGAGGCTGAGGCAGGAGGATCATTGCGAGTTCCAGACTAGCCTGGGCTACAAAGTGAGTTCAAGGCCAGCCTGAAGTGCATGAAAGACCCTCTCAAAAAGACTAAGTGAAATAAAATAAAATCCCCACACTTCTGAAAGACAAATTTCCTCATATGACCAGACCCATATCTTTGTGCCTATTATTTAAATTCCAGTTCTAATCTGTAACTTCTCTCTCTTATAAGAACTTACCTATGGTTCTACTTGGAGAGCAAGATGACAGGGAGAATTACAGAAGTCAGGCTTCCTGACAGCTAGTCCAGTGATCTTCCTAACAACCTAACAACACTCAGTACTATCCTTTCCCTTTCTATGGTGCTCTTAATGGCCTTTAAAAAACTAAAACATACACCATCATTCACTTACAACAGCTCAGACAATATTTTTAGTGCCATTCATTAAATAAACCTAAAACAGTTTATCTCAAGACAGATAAATTGTGAGCCTAAACCAATTTTTGTGGAAGAAAAAATAAACAAGTAAATCTTAAAAACAATGAAATATATACCAATACATTCAAGGGACTTGAGTCAGTCATCATTTGAAATAAGTTAATCATGGCTTAAAGAGCAAATTTTTAAAATCATCCCATGGGTAGAAATGGATACTCAATGATCTTAAAACTAGAAACAATGAATTACTTTTCAAACTACTCCAAATTTGTTTCTACACACATACTTTTTTCAGAAGGTCTTTCATCTTCCTCATCTACCATTTGCTCTTCTTCCTGAGATTTGCTGTCCTTTTCATTCTTCTCTACTTCTGCTATAATAAAAATAGAAAACGAATTTTTATTTTCTACTCAAATCACAATAGTTCATTAACTTATGGTTTTTTTATAATTAGTCAGTTACCAAATGTTAGCCTGTAATAAAACCAGTCTCAAAATTTTGTGAAGAAAATAAGAAGATCAACTGATGGAATTAAATGACCGGGTCCACATTCAACTGTTCTACAATTTATAGTAAACTCAACATGGAACAATAATATCATGGATATTTTTTGGGGGGGTGCAGTGTTGAGAAAGGGTCTCACTATGTAGTTCAGGCTATCCTTGAATTCACTCTGTAGCCTAGATTTGCCTTAAATTCACAATGATCCCCTTGCCTCAGCCTCACAAGTACTGGAATTATAGTCATGTGTCACCATGCCTAGCTAATATTATAGATCTTAAAACAAACAATCTTAATTTTCTCTTGTTAATAAAATGAATAAAATGTGAAAACAGTATTATAAAGCACAGTCTCCTTGACATTTAATTGTTAAAACTAATACAAGTAACTGACAATTATCAAAATATTGCCAACTATCAATTCAAAACTATGATTTCATCTAGAAGGTAGAATGAAATTATTTTAGTAGTTATAGAATAACATATAAGGAATGGAGAAGCTATCCTAAATGTCATAACCACTTTGTTAAAAATAATACCTATTTTGATAACAGTATCAACAGCTGAGTTTGGTGTTTGACATATATTACTACACAGCCTCAGTACAACAGTAATCCTATACTTCATTTTTTCCATCATACAGATGAGGAAAATAATGTTCAGGAAGGTTAAGCAATGTTTGCAAGTGGCATATAAACTATGAAAAAGAGTGTTAGCCATCAGGCATGCTGGTGTAACTGTAATCCCAGCACTGGGGAGGCTAAGGCAGGAGGACTGTTGTAAACCTGATACCAGCCTGGGATATAAAGTGAGCACAAGGCCAGCCTGAACTGAATGGCAAAGTCCTGTCTCAAAGTAACTTAAAAAAAAAAAAGAGTACTACCAAAAACCTTGTTTTAAAAAGTACAGGTTCATATTATGTAACAACAAATAAAATCACAGAGGTACATGATTTGCCATCTGGTCAGTCATGCCATCACCTTATCTAACTTAATAATTATATGATGGATAACAGGGCTACAACAGATCACTTAAAAATTTAGATTCTTATTTTTTCCCCTGACATATTTGCAAGTGGCTCTTTGGTGACTTCAATAAAAAATAAAATATAAAATGTTTTATCATATTTTACAAATAATATTAAATAACAAGATGCATACTAATATAAATATTTATACATATATAGATGGCCTCCAGTATCAAAATTCTGTCAACGATAAAATGTACAAACTCATTAAATCACAAGGTGCAATTTGCTGTGATAAAATTTTTTTCTTATATAGACTTCCATAATGCTTTTTAAGGACCTGCCACATTCTATATAAATATCTATTGGATAAATGAGTGAAATTTATATTGAATACTATTACCTTTCCAAAATACAAATTCCCTATCATTCTCACTTAAAATTCTTCAATAAGTTGTATTTCCTTAACAATACTTCAGTATTGTAACAAATGTCCTTCCTTTGTGACACGATATGCTTCTCTTACGTCATCAACGATGCATTTCCTCCACAAATATGATGAGTAGCTGTGCATCAGTCACCACTTTAGCGTGATAACTGTGATTAGAACAGTTGATACTGAATTCTACATCTATTCTGAAGGAAGTGCCAACATTTCCTACTGAACTGAATATGAGATGTTAATAGAAAAAAATAATCCCAAATTTTCTGACCCAACTAGATAAGATGGCACAGAAAATACAAGGAATAAGACTCATTAGAACCTTGATACACAAATATTAAAGGTAAAGCTTCTTCCCTGAATATACCTGTGCTTGCCTAGTTACTCTCCTCTACATTCCCAGAATACAAATACCACTCCACTGTATTTGTGACCTTCTATATAATAGTCTGTGATTAAGCTGGGTGTTGTGGTATACCCTTGTAATCCCAGTAGCAAGGAAGCTGAGGCAAGAAGATTGCCATAAACTAAAGGTCAGCCTGGGCTACACAGTGAGTTCAAGTCCAGTTGACATGCACAGTTTAGACTTGGTTTCAAAAACAATAAAAAAATAAAAAATTGTCTGATTTCTTACCTGCATCAAATCCCTTGAACTAAAAGGGCCTCATCTGTCAACAGATTTGATAAATGTTCTTCAGAAATCAAAAGCTTATCTTTCAGTAAGAAAAGAATCTCTAACAGCTGTGTGATATACTAGGGAAAGATTTTTCCTCTCTATTTCCTATTTTTCATTTTTACTTTCAACAAACTAGGTTTTCTATTTGACATGCTGTTTATGGCATGGGAACAATTCCCTCCTCTTACTGATTCTAAGGATAAGATATCATAAAGTAGGACTAGAAAGGTATCCCTGCTAATCTGAAGAGGACTAAGCAAATATCACACAGGAATTATGCTTTGGTTTGACCAAGAAAGAATTCAGGGGCCAGGGAGATAGCTCTGTAGAATAAGTGCTTGCCTGGCAAGTGCAAGGGCCTGAGTTCAATTCCCAGTTACACCCAAAAAAACAAGAATTCAAATATTTATTATTCTCTTTTCTGCTCTAGAAAAAATGAAAGCGAGAGGCAGATGCTGATAAAAATCATGAAGTTTATGTTTATATAAGGAGTTAAGAACTGTCCTAAAAAAAAAAAAAAAAAGCTCATGAAAAAGAGGGAGGTCATCTAAGAGATGACAGTAAGAGAATGGACTGCGTAGAACCAATAGAACTCAAAGAAAAAAAAAATCAGGGTTCAAGGTTTCTGGCTTCTAACAATGGTAATGTCACTCCCCAGAACCTCCAAAAAATTTTAAAAATGAGATAAAGATTATCTGAAAAATAATTCTGTTTGCTACCCAATGGCAAGAAAGAACAACTGCTGGGATTTCAATGATTTAAATTGTTACCACAGCGCTCCACAAGTCCATCTTATCCATTCCTACACAAAAAGCCCCGAATGCTCAAGGGCAGTGTTTTCTACTTATCTCCTTTCTTTGCATTTTAGCAAAATGTTTGTCACAGAGAGGGTATTTTGCAACTCTGAATTCTAACTGTGAAGTTATGAATCAACAAAGTTAAGACATCCTTCTATACAGTCACAAGAATCTCAACTTCTTCAGCTACTTAAAAAAAAACCCTAAAACTTCATCTGACACCATTTATTAAACATTTAATTAAAGCTGGTAAAGTCTTTGTTTAATTAAATAACTTACTAACCTGTAGAGCATGTTTCATTTTGTGATATAATTTCAGACTCATCTTTCTCACATGAAATATCATCTTCATCAGAAAGGACCAAAAAGGCTTCTTTAGGCAAACTCTCACTACTTTCTTGTTTAGATGGTGAACCAAAAGAAACTTCCATTTTCTCTTCCAAATCTGGATTTGTCTCATCAATTGGAAGGAGAGAAGTTTTAGAAAAGCAAGTAAGTTCATCCTCAGCAGGTGCAAGTTTTTCCAAAATAGGAATAATTTCATCTGCCTCCATAGAATCAGTATTTTCTAAGATAGTCTCATTTTTGTCATTTTGTATGACATTTTCACTAATGGTTTCCACAAGGTCTGTAGATTTTTCATCTTCATTCTTTTCACCTTGGTCAATTTCCATGCTGCTAGATATAGCCTCTTCTCCAAGAGCAAGCTCTGTGAAAGGATCTTCTCCCTTCTTTTCATTTTCAGGAGAGATATCTGAACAAATCACTGTATCACCTGTTTCTAGAGTTTCTTCATTACTACTATCAATATTACTGTCAGCTTTCTTTTTCTCATCAACTGAGTCCTTATTCTGAATCTGGCCTAAACTTTCATCATCCTCATTTTTTTCAAGAAAATCTTTATCGTTATTGCTACACTGTTCTGTACTGTCAGTTTCAAGAGCTGGTTCTGGTACAGAACTTGGTTCAAAGGTGGGAGCAAAGGCTGATTCTGAAGTCAGTTCACTAGAGGCCAGGTCACTAGAGGCCAAGTCACTAGAGGCTGGTTCACAAGGGGCCTGGTCACCAGGGGCCAGTTCACCAGAGGCCAGATCACCAGGGGCTGGTTCACCAGGGGCCAGATCATCAGAGACCAGTTCACTACAGGAAGGATTATCAGAGGGTGAATCACCAGAAACTAGATCATCAGAGGATAGATTATCAGAGGCACAATTACCCGAAGCTGGTTCACCACAAACTCTTTCACTAGGAACTGGTTCACCAGCAATAGGTTCACTAGAAACCAGTTCACCACAGGCAGAATCACCAGTGGCAGGATCTCTAGAGCTAAGTTCTCCAGAAGCAGGATCACCAGAGGATGCATCCCCAGTGGTGAGATCAGCAGAAGTGGAATCACTAGAGGCTGAATCTCCAGTGGCCAGCTCACTAGAGGCTAGATTACCAGAAGTTTGCTCAGTGGTCAGTTCAGAGGCTGGTTCAGGGGTTACTTTTTGAGGAGACAAAGGTTCATTTAAATCATCTTCTTGCTTGTTTTTTACATTAACATGTAGAATACAGGGTTTTTCTTTCCATTCTGTTTTACTTTCTTCAGAACCAAAACAAATATCTTCAATGCCATTTACCTTTTCCTTATCTTTAATATAATCCATATTTTCCAAAGGGGAGGTTGGGTCCAAATCTCCATTTTCATGGCTGCCATTTAAAAGCTTGACATCAGTTTTCAATAGTTCTTCCTTGACTTTGTATACTGCTTCAAGCTGTTGCCGATCACTCACTCTCATTGTTTTTCGAGCCTTAAAGACTTTTTTCTGAGGTTCTTCTATATTATCCATATTGGATCTTTTAAAAAAGAGAGAGTTCAACAATTAAAACAGAGGTCATCTAATTATAGATTTGCTCTTATAAGATAGCAAATAGTATACAACATATAATTTTGAAATAATGACATAAGAACTTAATAATCTTTGTGTAGTTAATTAGTCACTTAATATGAATGAAGATCAATTACCATGACAATTCAGACCAAAAAAGACCAGTTTACATTCTCAGGGGATTCAGAGTCCAGAGTAAGAGATCACAAAGTAATAAATGAAAATAAGAAAAACAAAAGTGTAAGAACGAAAAGGGCTGGGGAGATAGCTCAGTATAATAAGCGCTTGCCTGGTAAGCACAAGGGCCTGAGTTCAATCCCCAGTTCTGAAAAAAAAAAAAGAATGAAAATAGAAAGGGACTAGAAAAGAAGCAAAGGAAGAATCAAACTTTATTCAGGTGATGATTACATTTACAACCATGCCTAATACATTAACACAACTGTAACAACAGATTATCATCCATACAATGAAAACATTACTTCTCAATTAAAAATTTTAAGCTAGCCCAGTGGCAAAAGATGGCAATTTGAAGGTCAGGCTGGGCAATTTAGGAAGATTCTCTAAATAAATAAATAGGCCAGGGAGATAGCTCAGTAGAACAAGCACTCGCTGGCAAGTGCAAGGTCCTGAGTTCAATCCCTGATACCTCAAAATAATAACACTAATAAATAAATAAATCTATATGTAAATACATGGCCCAGGGAGGTAGTTCGGCACTGGTGTACACAGCCTGGGTTCAAGTCCCAGGAACAACCCCCTATACACACACACACACACACACACACACAGTAAATTTATTTTTTAAAAAGAAAATGAACACAATTCATACAATAGGGAAAAATATTTGCATGTTACATATTTGAAAAGACTTGTATTTAGAATATGAATATACATGAAAACTGTTTATACATATATGCACATAGAAAATAAGCTTACAACTTTTTTTAAAAGGCAAGTACTGTAATTGAATCTAAAACTGGATAAAGGACTTGAATAAAAATTTCTACAGAGAGGACAAATGAAGAGATGCTCAACATCGTATCATTAGGAAAATGAAAATTAAAACCACAATGATAAAATACTTCATACATAACGTTACAAACATAATCAAAGAGTGCTAACAATCATAGAGCATCAGCTGATCTCATACCACGTTAGTATTCTATAAAATGATACAAGTTGCTTTGGAAAACAGGCAGTTCCTCAATATATTAAACACAGAGTTGCCATATGACTCAGCAATTCCACTTCTGGAAATCCACTCGCCAAATAAAACTACATGTGAGGGACCAGTCAGATAGTTCAGTGAATTGAAGCACCTGCTTAGGCAGACGCAGGTGTCAGATGTTCGATCAGCACCCTAGGTGCAAACTGAGATAGCAATTGAGACTGGGTGTGGTGGCACACCCCTGTAATCCCAGCACTTGGGAGACCCTGTAGACCCGACCCTGCACTAAATACAAAAAAAAAAAACAAAACCACACCTATATGTGTCCCTACAAAACATGTCCATAAATGCTTATCATAACATTACTCAATTAGCCAAAACTGAAAGCAATACAAACATCCAGCAACCAATGAACAAATTAATAAGACATGGTATATCCATATATTAAAATATTTAGCCATAAAAAAATAAAGTATTGATATATGATACAATATAAATTAATCTTGAAAATATGATGGAAGAAGTCAGTCACTAAAGACCACACACTGAATGGTATCATTTGTTTATGTCCAAAATAGGGTAAACTATAAAAATAAAAAGTAAATCAGTGATTAAAGTTTAGAGGGTCTGTGATGAAAAAAGAGATGGTTTCTAAGTGCATTCCTGTAATCCCAACATTCAAGAGGCTGAGGCAGAAGGATCACCATGAATTCAAGGCCAGCCTGAGCTACATAGTGAGTTATAGATCAGCCTGAATACCACAGCAAGATTGCATTTTTAAAAGGTTTAAAAAAAATTATAATGTGTTATCTTGGTAAATTTTGCTAGACACTTCAATAATTCTATTTTTCAAAGAATGAACTTTTGCCAGGTGTAATGGAACACTCAAGGAGGCTGAGGTAGAAATACTGCCATGGGCTCAGGGTCAGCCTAGATTATATAGCAAGTTTAAAGCCAGCTTGAATTATATAGTGAGATCCTATTTCAAAAACAGAAAAACAATAATGAACTTATATGCTGCCTATTTCTGTTTTACATCAGCTTTCTAGTTCCATTGGTTTCTCTAATATTGTTTTTTTCTCTCACTTTCTTGAATGGGTTTGACTGACCATCTTTATCCTTGAGGTTCAGGTTTTAATCTGTAGTTTTAAACCTGCTCTCTTTTGTAATACATAAACACAAAGCTATAAATTTCTAAGAGCTTCTTGTGTCACATGTCACAATGATGCCTAATTCCATTATCCTACTGAAGTAAATGCATTGTAGTATCTTCTTTTGGTTAGCAATATATTTATTTAAAAGTTAACACCTTATAATCAATTGAAATGCATTTTAAAAATGCAAGGTTGCCTTCATATCTAGAAGTCAAGCAATACTGATTATGAGCAAATCAAGAAAACATTTGCACATCATTTCATGCCCACAAAATAACCAACTAATGAATTCTGTCTGCTAATCGAAGTGAATGTTTGGCACTAATTGCTGGTTGAACAGTGTAATCACTCATCTCCCACCCCCCAAAAAGTCTTAAATTCCAGTACCTCAGAATGTGATCAGATCACAACAGATATAATTAAAATAAAAGTATTAAGTGGGCTCTAACCCAACATGATGGGGGAGGTCTTTGTTTTCTTTCTTGAGCACCCAGGTTGGTGTCAAACTCACTGTGAAACCCAGATTGATTTGAACTCACAATTCTCCTGCTTTAGCTTCCCAAATAGAGGGACTACAAGCATTTGCAACTGAACCCAGCTGGTATCCTTTTAAAAAAGGGAAAATTTAACTGGGCAGGGAGAAGCATGTCAGTAATCCCTACCACTGGTGAGGCTGAGGAAGGATTGCCATGAGTTTAAAGTCAACCTAGGCTGTATAATGAGGTAAAGTCCAGCATGAATTACATAGAAAGATCCTGTTTCACTCACTCTCTCAATCAGGATAGGTAGATAGATAAGATAAATGAGGGAAAAATCTGGACACAAACATGCACATAAAAATATCATATTGAAATTGGAGTTACGCTGACATAAGCCAAGAAATACTAGAAGCTAGGAGAGAGACCTAGAACAAATTTTTCTTGGTATCTTAAGAAACATGGCGCTTAATAATTAATTTTAGACTTGTGGCCTGCAGAATTGTGAGTCAGTAAATTTGTTTATATATTTTTGTGATGTGTATACCTTTAACTGGCCACTACATAGAATGGAAGAAAAAAATGAATGCCCTCCAATACACATAGAATATCCATTTGAAGAAATTCCAAATTGACTCATAAATTTTCCAAGAAATTAAGCACATAAACTTGAATCTAATAAAGAATATTAACACAGAAAACTACAGTTGCCATTAATAGAAAAGACAAGGTGTCAGTACCACCATTTCTGCATTACCACATGGCCAGTGAAATAAATCAAGTAAAAGAAGACAAATATCTGGTGCTCCTGTAGAAAGAAAATGTCGCACCACTTAACATTAGAATGTAAGTCTTTCAAGAACTAAGATGTATAGAAGGTAAGAACACTGCTTTTACACTGCTATCCACTTCCTGTAATCATTACCCAATGGAATGCTGGCAGGACATTAACTGTTCTGGTTTGTGGGCGCACCTTCTGATACAATGCTCATAGGTAGGTATCTTTAAAAACTGATCTGATGCTTGTTAAGCCACAGTGTTAAAAGGACATACAACCATGTAACATGCAACTCAAATAAGGTCACTGTGCAACCCACAAAATATCAAATATTTTCACATTCCTAAGTGGGAGACAACTACTCTTTCACCAATCACAGCTTTTCCTTGCCACCATCTGATTTCCTTATATAGATAAAATGTGTTAAGATATGTAACTCCTAATCACCCAATCCAATCTGAGGATCCATTTCCTTTAACTCTCCCCCAAATAACCCAATCTATACTATACAATAAACAAATTCTATACTATGCTTTGATCTAACATCCTCACTAATAGACAATCACAGTTTCCCCATAGTAAGCATACTTCCCTCCCTGTAATAAATAGGAAATTCATTATTCAAGGTAAGTATGTTTACAGTGGCCTTTGGCTGCTAGGCATTAAACAACAAGCCTGGCCTATCTGCTAGAGGTTGAATAGCTTAAGAATCTATGCCTTTGTCAAATGGTTTCTAGACTATGATCAGATATTCTCTCAATTTTAACTCAGTAACTTATGACATTTCTTCATCTATCCTTTTTATTTAAATTATGGAAATGAATAAAATTATTTAGAAAATTACCTTCAGTTAAAAAGAAACTTCAATGCAAAATTACCCTGGTCATTATTTTAAGAGTCATTAATTACAGTCTAGAATTTCAACTTGAAGGTTTTTTCCTTTCAAATTCCAAGGTCACACTAACTGCAAAGTTTTTCTTCAAAGAAGATACAATGAAAATTTTCTAGTCATGTTAGTTTCTGACTCCACAGTACAAAATAATTACTTATATTAACTTTTAAATATTTTCAAATTCTGAACTGTGATTATTTTAGACCTTTACCTCAAAATATACACATTTCCGTAATGCAAGAACATGAATGCTATATTCATTCATAGATCTCAATTCCACTTCTCTCAGGCATTTTACTGTGTGACACTGAAGAAGTAGCCTAATATTTCAATTTCTTAGTTTTGGATCCCTTGGAAAGAAAATAACACCATTAGCTGCCACAATGGTTATGGCTAAGATTTAACTAATTAACATTAACTATTATTAAACATTCAGAATGTAGTAAGCACTCAATAAATGTTATCATCGTCTATGTATATTCAAGATGTTTTTAGGCATA